ATTGAGGATCTTCAAATTATAGTGTGACATATGCGATGCAATAAATACTTGATATGAAAATTTGGGTTTTAGTAAACATGCTTTCTTTTTATTTTAATTTTTTTTTGTTTAAATGTAATTCCAGGGAACGCCAAAATCAAACCGGCTACGAGAATCTCAATAAATACCAATTTAAATGCAGACGTGTGGCTGAAGAATTAGTGTACATACCTCAATAAATGTTTTTGATTTAAACTAACACCATTTCGAAGTTTCCTTTTTTTGGTATATTTATTTTTTTTTAAAAATACAAAACATGATTAGCATGTTAGGATAAGAGTACAGTACCTGTCTTTCATAAAAAATGTTTCCCCTCATGTATAGAAAATCCTATTCGTATGTGGTTTATTTTGGGATTTCATCATGTTAACGATTGTTTATGTCTTTGAATCGCAATTAGTTTATTTGTTTACAAAACCCCCAGTTTGCGTTTTAAATTATTAACCTGGAATCTTTGATGGCTTTTGTTTCCTTTGGCGAAATGCAAAGCGGGAAATTGGAACAAAATATATCATCTGATCTTATCGAGGCCGGCAGTAGAACTTTGCTGAAGAGATTTTTGTTTGACTGTACTGAAAGTGAAAATACGTGACAACATTCAGTGTGGACAGAAATTCCGATGCTCCAAGTTAGAATCACACTTTCTTTATACCCGAAGAAATATCTGAGACAGCACTTCAATATTTTGGTGAGTACGTCTTTGCAGCAAAGTGTTTCTGTACATAACGACAGTACTATCTTATTATTTCCCCTCATTCCCCTTTGAACCTCATTGCATTTGTGATCTCTTTTCATAATCGTTTTTTATTTTATTAAAGTCATAGATTTGTCGTGTAATACATGCCACTGGACATTATATATTGCAATTATTTATAACTGCTGGAACTAAAATAAACAAAACCAGCAAACACCGTGACTTCTTCTCTGTAAATTCATCAGTGACAAATAAAGTCCTCCTTGTAACACAAACATAGAGACAAACATACCTCTACACCTTGCAATACTGCATTTAAGTACTTCAAAGGACTTCCCATTACAGTATGAACCGCCACCGGACGATGGTACTGGATTATTACAGAGGCGGTTTCTCGTTTGGAATCCAGAATCACAACTAGCACTACACATTGTCCAGCTTGACCATGAGCCCCAGTTTCCATTTACTGTCGGAACAATAATGTAAAATTACAAATGATGAATAAACTTAATTTCGAGAATATGACATGTAAAACTTCTGAATAAGACATTACACGAATCATATCAAAATAACCATGACATTGACTGATGTAATAACATGTTATCATTCTAATGAAAATTTTTCTCTAATCTTATAGAAATTTATCCCTTTCCGAACCCACTGTATAAAACAAATTAACCAACGTGTGGCTGCCTGTGATCTCAGAAGATGATTGGATGAGTTTAATGGTCATAACCTTTATCAGCTCACTTGATGAATCAAAATATGCGAACAGGTGTTAATGAAATTGACAACTTTGTGGAAAGTGGAAGGCACTCGAAGGGGATTTTAATTGAGCAAAAAAGTAATATTTATTTTTTAATTATTAGAGTAACTGATTATACAGAGATTCTCGTGGATTATCGGATGTATCTTATCTCGCTAGTTAAATTATCAATTTTGCTATCTCGATTGAATAAATCCGATAATCTACTGGTATCAATGTCAGAATCTATATGTATTTATCATAATGTCCTATGATTTTGTCATAGCAACTAAATATATTCAATTCAAACCTTTCTCTGTCTCTTGGTTCTCCTGGATTGTGGAGGTCTATACTTCAAATTGTTATGTACTGTTTTTAGTTACACAGGAAGTATTCAAAGGTACAAAGTGAAATACTCAGTGACAAAAACAATATAACTAGGTAAGAATATATGTCAAATACTTTCATAACCCCTTATTAAAAATTGTTATATACTAGTTGATTAACCACTCATCATAATTGTCACATACTAGTTGTTTGAAAGGTTTTTTTTTACCTATACTTGTCTGAGAGAAATGTACTGTTTCCATGATAAGTTAAACACTGGTAAAACAAAAACAACGAAAAACAGCAAGCATCCTTTCTTTATTCATATGATTTCTTTGAGATTTTAGTTGTACCTTTGGTATTGGCAGCAACATCTAAATGATAGATTAGTACTGCTTACAACAAATCACAAAAATAGAAGACAACTATACCTCTACACCTTGCAATACTGCATTTAAGTACTTCAAAGGACTTCCCGTTACAGCATGAAACACTAGGCAATGGTACTGGATGATTACAGAGGCGGTTTCTTGTTTGAAAGCCAGCATCACAACTAGAACTACACTTTGTCCAGCTTGCCCATGATCCCCAGTTTCTATTTCCTGCAGGCAAAATAAAGTAAAATTAGAAACTGCAATATGAACATACTTTCGAGAATATGACAAGTGAAACTGACCAATAAAGCTGACAATTAATGCATTATTAAACTGAATGTTGCTATAATTATAACATTACTATATACGCATCTAAATCTCTTATATTTTTTTCCTATCATACACATGTATATGTTAGACTCAGATCGACGTCCGGTCTCTAAACGACGTCCGTTCCTCAAATCGGCGTCCAAATCTGACGTCACGTTCCAAAATCAGTGTCAAATAATTGAACCCTCTAATCGACATCCAATGCTACGTAATGAATAACACAAACGACGTCCGATCGAAGAGGAGACTATCATCGCGATTTCATTGAATCATTTATTTTTATATTTATCGTTGATTATAGTATCTGTATCGTTTTGTCTTTTTGTGAAAATATAACTGTTTATTTTGGTATCAAAATTTTGTTATCAAAATAAAAGGTTAAGCATCAGAAAATACCAATAAGACAATCACCAACATCATATTACAATTGCATATACGTGTATATTATTATTTTGATGACAGACGTTTATATTCTCGACCTTGTTGTTTTCCTTTTAAGGTCGTATAAACAAATAAACTATCTAACTATAATGATCTGAGCGTCACTGATGAGTCTTATGTAGACGAAACGCGCGTTTTGTAAATCAAATTATAAGCGTGGTACCTTTGACAACTATTAACGTAACTTTGATCGGTGTCACGCGCACTGATTTCTCAGTGGACAGATTTTGTTCTGCAGTATCAAGTGATGATATAATTCCGTTCACATTTAACAATTTTAGAGAATATAAACTGACATGAACACACAAATTCTTTTTTTTTCAAACCTACATTACAGATAAAACACTATTCATATATGAATTATTCTAAAAGTAAAAATGACAGAAAAATGCACTCCCAAAAATAATGACTTACCATCGTAATGTCCTTCAACGACGAGGGTACATATAAACAGCGTTGTGAATTTAAGGAAAAAAATCCACATATCAGTTTCAATATTCCAGTATAAGTAATTAGTCTAAATCAAAACAATGTTTCCATCCTTAAAAAAATAAAAATGTTTATCGTTAATACCCAGCGCCCCACAAATCACATCATTATTATATAATTTTATAGTAAAATGCTGATATAAATTATCAACTTACAAACTTTTTTCTGTTAGTTTTATTTTTTTTGTACGTATAATGTATTTTTTTTAAGGTAAGGCACAATATAAAATGATAAAAAAGAACTAACAAATAATGTTAACAGTTCTTTTGGTAATGTCTTTCTTCTGTTAAAGGTCACATAACTTTTATTGCGAGTGTTAAAAAGGGATGTAAATATCACATTGTGGATAAACACCTATACCGAAATATGATATTTTTGTATAATTATCAAATATCAAGAAGCAAACGCATTGCAAAGCAGGGGGTTGTCTATCTTTGTTAAATGTTTTAAATATTTGAAGTGATTGAGGCTTCAAATTACAGACATTTGTTTCAAAAAAGGTATTCAAATTTCTTTCAATCTGTTTATTTCGATTATACAAAGAGATATTTGTCATGCCTATCTACATATTTTTAAACCTTTTCTTAAATAAACTCGTGTTCATATGTATATTCTATATCACACGTAGCTGATTTGTCATCTGTTGCAGGAAATAAGAGAATGTTGCCACTGTTTTGTCAACCATGCTGTATGATTTATATAGTTCTGTGCGTGCTTAATCATCGTGTCAATGATCACTTCTTTCTTTTCTATTTAAAAACAGGAAAAAAATCCCCTGTAAATGATTTTTTTAATTACATTGCGTTCTGTTCAATTCAGTAACTGTACTGCAGCATCGCAATGATGTGCTGTTTGTTATAAGCACAAAGTTCAAATATATAAAAAGAATTAAAATGTCTATGAGTTTTGCTTGTGTAATTGCACTTGCAAATCTAATGTAGTCACGAAAGGTTTTTGGAGTACCGCATGCTGTCTTGGGTTGAAATAAAAAAATAAAAGCTTTCTGAAATATGTGTATTTATATATCGTAAAAGTGATATATGTAATTAGATATTAAATTTAACGTTTGAACGCCGAAAAAAAGTAAAGCTGATGCTTACATTTTCGGAGACAGTTAACGCAGTAACTTCAAAACAATAAAAAAGGAAATCATTACAATAATACCATTGCCAGGGCACCAGAAACAAAATACTTTGACAAATTTAATTTAACCATAATCAACATTCATACAATCAGTTAATATAAAAATATTTCAAAGAATGACACGGTTGCCCTTATATATTGGAAAAAAGTGTATATCACTCGAACAAATAAAAATAAAATGCTATATAGAAAATCATAATGGCCTAAATAATAAGATTATTAAAATGATATAAGAGATGATTGTTTTGTTCTAAAGTTTTGTACATATCCAACACTGTTATAAATAAAATGTACTTACGTGTCAATAGCGCCATCGACCTTAAATGTTATATAAGTATTATACTTAAAGAAAACTTCCTAGTTAAATTATAAGAAAACAGGAAATGAAAAAGTACAGATTTAAACGTGATTTGTTAATGTTATAGATGAGCATCAAAAAGGAAGATTTTTTAAAAGTAATGGATACATATTTTTCAAGTGTTAACCGACTTGCTTTATCTATATTTTTTATCGACATATGTATTGCAAAATATACGAAAAAGGTCAGTGAATATAAGATTACACATATTTCCGAATTGTACCTAAACACTATTTGTTAACCGGTTAGATGTCATATAACAAAGAAAGAGTTTTGATTTATTGGAACATTTAGATATTAGAACACAACTGTAAAGAATTTTTGTGAAAAATAAATCAAAACAAAAGCCCAAAATTGCTTCTGGCTTTTAACAAAACTCGAATTAAATCTGAAAAGGAAAACTTAATCCCACCAATTACATTATCTGTTTGACAGCGTTTTATTTTTCATTATAACGATTGTGTTTCAATGTGTTTATATGCTCTGGTTTACTACAATATCGCACCAATTTTATGTTCTGTTTCTTTGTATTTCCTATCAACTTATCAACAGCAAAAACAGTAATCTTGTATACCCGCAACGAATTAATTCGAGTATCAAACCTTTGGGATTTTCTAATTCGTTTACAATAACATGGCGAGCTTTATTATCAAGCTTATATTTGACAACAGTTCCTTAACAATTTTGAACGAAAGTTTTGAATAACAAGTTTATGATTTAGGCTTGATTTGAAGAATCCTACATTTGAAGTTAAACTTAATCAATCCAGAGAAAAACCACCTTACACGCTATATTTTGTCTATTGTGAGTTGTGTGGACGAATTTGTCTTTGACGTTGCATTAGCTTAATGATTTGCTATTGATATTTATCGTACACGTTTAAAAATCAACTAATTGGAGCATTCAAACTGATTTAATGTTCCGGTAACCCAAAACATGATTAATGTGTTTATAAAGCTATATACGTAGTTGTTTATGTCACTGCAATGTTTACCCATGTACAGCTTTCTATTGAACGAAAGGATGTACATTTGGTACAATTTTTACAAAACCGTGAATGCTAATTAAAAACAGATATACTTCATTCAAACCTGAAGTCGCTTGACCAAATTTTAAATCACATTGGCAACCTTATCTAAGTGGTTGTAAACTGTAATGGCGTATAATTACAGACTTGTTATTTTCAAATACACGTCGTGTTATGTATGTATGTATATATGTTTGTCTATTGGAAAGCATACATCAATTTTCTATTTTTATAATTGAGATAAATATTCACAATAAGGCTAATAAACGTGGACTAAAATACATAAAATTTTTATGCAACTGCTTATCTTCTACAGTATAATAACATTTTACAACGTGCATAAAAGGAATTACTTGTGGGAATTTCCTAAGTTATAAGACCATAACTCTGCAAAAAGTCATCAGACCAAAAGCAAATTCAAACTTGATCTGTATGACTTGGTCATGAGAAAACTATGTACCAAATATCAAATCAATATTTTCATGCACGAAGAATAATAATTTTCATCAAATGATATCCGCTATCGTCAAATCATCTTCCGTCATCGTCAAATGATTCCAGTCATTGATGCAGGTACTTCAGGAAAACATAAAACGTTTAGAATAATAAGGAATAGATTACCTTAGCTGTATTTGGCAAAAATGTTAGAAATTTTTGGTCCTCAATGCTCTTCAACTTCGTACTTTATTTGGCCTTTTTACCTTTTTTTTCATTCGATCGTCACTGATGAGTCTTTGCAGACAAAACGCGCGTCTGGCGCAAATACAAAATATCAATCCTGGTATCTATGATGAGTTTATATAAAATAATAATGACATATGGTTTGCGTTGAAACGATTTTTTTCCCTATAAACCTGGAGGTGTACAAAATCATTTTATTAAACAAGGATGTCTATGTAATCACACACTATGTCATATATTGATAATGAACCAGAGTGTATACAAAATCATGTCGAGGAGAGATAAGTCTGATTGGCTAATATGAATACTCTGTCTTCTTTGATAACTTATAGCTATATCCATTCTCTTAATATTAGGGCAAATGTTAACATTCCTGATCGATCTTATTGATCATGTTGATATGGTATCCACACTATTTTCGGTCTAATGCAAAGGAAACACATTATAGAGAGCAGTTTGCACTAATTTTAATTTGCACTTTAATATGTAAATAGATTTTTACTCCCTTTTTTTTTTCAAAAGACGTCTTTTGGGATTTACCTAATTTTAGCAAACTTTTTCCTTTGTAAATATAATTTGTATTCTTTAATTGCTCCTCTTCTAATGAATGGCATATACTTTTTAATGAAACCACAGAGGTGTATTAAATTACATGTATTTCCTTTGTAAATATAATTTGTATTCTTTAATTGCTCCTCTTCTAATGAATGGCATATACTTTTTAATGAAACCACAGAGGTATATTAAATTACATGTATTTTGCAGAAAATTCTGCAACTTGAGTAAATACTAAATATTACAATGTATCTAAATATAAAATTTAGCTCGAAGTCGTACCTTCCCTTTTATTCTATACCATCAGCGACAACGGATTTATCATGCACTAGCATGTACACGTGGTACTCAACTCTGTGATGATTCTCCTTTAAATGTACATGTATCTGATATTTCTCAACTGCAATTACTATAAACTGATAATAGTTATCAAAAGTATCAGGCTTATAACACTCTTTCCCTCCTAACAAAAATAAAAAAAGAAATACCAATTCTCTTTAATCATGATAATTCCGAACCGATTTACACATAAAACAAACAGTAAACTCTAAAATCAGCATTTTAATGTTTGATCTCAGTTTTGCGTTGGTAAGTCAATAATGACATATAACGTTCTTACTTTCCTTTGCATTATATACTGTGTCGTCCCGACGAAACGTGCAAGAAACTACCATACCAAAATGACATAAAATAGAAGACGATATTATTGAGTTTTTAAAAATTAAAAGTGTGTTTTCATATCATTTGAAACAAGTTAAAAGATTGTATTACCTCTACTTGCGAACTGTTAGTCATCTTGGGTATATCCAGGTAAGTGCCTAGTACTAAAAACCGTATTGTAAACTGCAAATGCATATTTTGCTTTATATCATTACTATCTTAAATGATTAGTATAGGTTGACTATTTATTATAGCTATAGACTCTTTGAGGATTCTTATGTAAAGGTCGTCTTTGTCAGTGTATGATTCGTATTCTTGCGTTCATTTGCAGTCCCATCCGTTTGATTGTGAAAATAAACACAAATACGGTACTATTGGAACATAATTCCAAAATGGTACTGCAAAACGTTGAATGCAATGATGTTTGAGTCGGTACATGTTGAACTTTTGAAAGTGTCTGTACAATCTCATTCATACTTGATATTCTTCATTTAAACCAGCTTCGAAAAATACAAAGATAGGACAGTCACTTCAGTAAGACAAATAAAACAATAGACTAATTTAAATGTCGTTATGTTAAAATGCAATATTTTATATTGCAATGGAAATTCTCTAACTTTATCCGAAACATGCAAAGACATTTTGCTGTGATCAAAGTATGTCCAAATTTTGATCATCGAAATAATCAAGATTGATTAAATCTAGTATTTGTATTTACATTACGTTCTATCACTGTAGATTAATTGGTTCATTTAGCATGTTAACATTGATGTTCCTTCTTGTTCGACTATGCCAAAACAAGGTTATTGTTATTACCTTTTTGTTATTCAAAGTTTACTTTTTGTGTTATGTCTCGTCTCATTATTTTTTATATGAAACGCCATGATAAGTATTTAGTATGACGATACATTTTCACTTCTGTACTCGTACTAAGAACAACACATTTATTTATTCTAAAAACAAATATTTCCGTACTCCTAACAACAACATTATTATATTATAGTTTACCTGTGTACGTTATTTAATTTAACGGCATTCTGTCCTAGATTAGAGCTGTCTATGTGGCATTGTTTTACGTTTTTTTTTTAATTATTAAAATTGTATCTATACTGTGTCATAGATCAAATATATTCGTTCAAAGTATATTTAATTTAATTTATTTAATCTTTTTTATATGTCTCTTTGGTTGAGTTAAGCCATTTCAATTGATATTATAGAGTGTTATTGTTCATGTTGTAAAGTTATATTTCTATTTCCGGTTACGGTGAAGGTTGGCGCCTTTTAAAACGTTTAACCCGCTGCATGTCTACGCAACTGACCTAATTCAGGAGCCTGTTGGTCAGTGGATGTCGTTTGATGATGTGTTACATAAGTGTTTCTTGTTTTTTTTATATAAGTTAGACCATTTGTTTTCTTGTCTGATTTGTTTGACACTAGTTATGTTGGGCCTTTTATCTTGCTGTATTGTGAAAGCCAAAGCGTAGGGTTAAAGGCCGTTCTTTGACCTATATTTGTTAACTTTTACACATTGTGACTAAGATGGAGAGTTGTCTCATTTTTTCATTTACCAGGTCTTCTTATTTCTAAGTTAGTCATGTTAGTGTTGACCAGTCTAGAACTTTTTATGTTGCGCTTGTACTACCTTTTAATGCCTTGGCTTAGTTAGTTTGTCATCGACTTATAAGTGTGAAAATCACTTTGGTATTTTCCACTTTGTCCTTAGAACATGCATTTCTAAACCAAGGATTTCGTTTTTTGTTTTGACAAACGTATGCGTTAGTCGTCGTGAAAGGAATATTTTATCACGACAATAATGTTTGCCGACCTCTCAATGCATCGCATATAGAAAAAAATAACAATAATATACTATGGTATGATTTCCAATAAGAAATCTATTTAAACGAACCTTAAATGAATTATATGTTACCAATTATAGGCAACCGTACGGCTTTTACCAATGAGAAAACCCGTTACCGTAAAGTCGGCTTCATGTATACAAGACCTGGAAACAAAAATATAAAACAATACAATTGAGCAAACTTACGGTCTTATTTAGAAATAAAACAATTCACGAAAAAACAAATATGACAGACATAAACCATCAACAACTACTGAGCTGCAGGCTCCTGACTTCGAATGTATAATGTGCCAGGGTTGAACATGTTCGTTGGCGTCTAGCCTCCCCTAAACTGGGACAGTGCGGTAACAATTCAACATAGAAAAAAATACATATCAAACAAAAAGTCGTAAACACATTATCGATACAAAGAAGAAAAACATCTAACAAAAAAAAAAACCCCAAAAAACAGACCAGACGGTCGTAGCAGGGTATAAATACATACACCACAACACAAAAGAAATACGGTACAGATCTGAGAGTACTCGCAGGTACTGATAGCTAGTTCAGAGCCATTAATAACTGTTATAAAACCATTGTTATATAGGAATTCTAAACTGTGTAATTATGTGTTATAACAGTGTAATTACATGTTACTATAAACAACGTAAATTGAAATTTAATAATTAAATAAAACAAAACCATATAAAATATCTTATATGTTTTATTATTTCGTTATAATTTCAGATCCTCGTATATTTCCTCATTATTGCAATTCATCTGAGTGTTAGTACGACCACCAATCTCAATATTGTCATAAACACCACTCTGTGTATCACTAGAACGTCGACTTCGTTCATAATCGTTAAGTTGGCTGGTTAGGGGTAATTCACCAGGACGTTGGTTGTTGCTGAAACATGATCAATGATATGCAGTCAACTGTTAAACTTGTCAAGGTGTATATGTTGTGTAATCTTAAAGGCACTTTAAAACATCGATCTATGTTACAATTTTATATGATAGAGAATATGTCGTTATGATACTAAATGAAAATAAAATTTTATTAGTCTTATACGTCCGAAGCACTTTAATGTATCATCTTCATCTCAATTAACCCGCAGAACCAAAACAGTTTAAAGCAAACGATGTAAAAAAATTGTATTTTCCTAAGAAATTAGTTATTACTATGTATCATAATATACCACATGACATTGTTTACAATCATTATATAAAATGTTATAACACGTGACCCTACGTTTCCATGATGGCAGCGCAGCGTTTTATTAATTTAGAAACATTTACAAAATTGTTTTCCTCATTGGACCTATCATAACATCCCCTAGAACTAGAGATTAAAGAAACCACAGACACACCTCCTCTGTCTTATTTTACGGAGACTCAATTGCAAATGTACATGCACATTGACTCTTGGATTTGAAAGAATTTGTTTAAATCACAAAAACACATTATCATTCAATAACGTATGCTGAATCTTATTGAATACATTATGTAAAGTTTGGTCAATGTCTTATTTGCTTCAAATCTACTTGTGTTGTTGCACTCGGAGATGGGAATCGTCAAACCTATTCCAAAAATAAGTACATTTTGTTTTGTCTATTTTTCCCCTTTTTATTTTTGCAAGCCACAAAACAAACGTTAATTATATTGTTAAAGGATAAAATTGGAGTTATCTACCAGTGCGATAACTCGAAAATTCAATACAATTTCTGATGAAACCTACATGTACAATGTACATCCAACCCACCTCTTGTCAAAGGTGATAACAAACTCGCCATTTTTGATAATTTGATAATTCTTTGTTATGAATAAGCTATTGAATTTGCTCAAATTAATTGCTAAAACACACATATTTGTTCACTGATGTTTTAACACGGTATAATAATCTGCATAAACTTGCAACTTTTCGATTCTCAAGTCACTCATATATCTAACCAGTAGTTCCCTTCTACATCTATGTGTGTCAATGCAACAAACCTTCAAGAGGGTCTGAAACTGTTTGTAAAGAGATTGAAATCGGAAGAAATATGTTTTAAACCAATTATGTTTTAAAGTTCAAACATAGAAAACTTACCCCGCCTTTCTATTTTGCCTTGCTAAAAAGACAGATAAAAAATTAAGTTGATTAGAAAAAAGTAACAAAACATATTAAAATATATACAAACGGAAAGCCTTGTCTAAAAAATAGCGATAAATGAACAGTTGTTATGTTATCTTGTTGTTGTTTTAATTGTTCTTGGTTTTTTCATTTATTATTCATTTTTATATTTTAACCCTTCGTTCAATAACTCAACACGATATTAACACTTAAATATACACGACTAACAAAGGCCAGCCAAAGGAAAATTTAAAAAGGAAAGTCGCTAATCAAATGGCAAAATCAAAAGTTCCAACATATCAAACGATTGGAAAACAACTGTCATATTTCTGAATAGGGCCAGGTGCAACAATGCAACGGGATTAAACATGGTTTGTAAAATGTATTGCATTATTTGGAAATGGAAATGAGGAATGTGTCAAAGAGACAATATTAATACCAAAGAGCAACACACCATCCGTTAACCACCAACGTGACTTCAACACAGCTAAAACATGACTATCAAAGACCAGAGGTTCCTGACTAGGGGCAGGCGTAAACATAGGCGGAGTTATTTTTTGACATTTGGAAACCAACATTATAACAGTAAATGCCATATTTTATAATATATGATTACCTTTCAACTGATAGGTCATTTTATAGAACTATCGGATTATCAGTCATCATATAGAATTGTGGTCTTTATTATACATTTATGTGGAGTTTTATTCCATTAAAAAGGAAAGTCACAAAAATACTGAACGCCGAGGAAAATTTAAAAAGGAAAGTCTCTAATCAAATGTCAAAATCAAAAGTTCCAACACATCAAACGATTGGAAAACAACTGTAATATTTCTGACGTGGTGCAGGCATTTTCTTAAGTAGAAAATGGTGGATTAGAATCGGTTTTAAAGTTTGCTTAACCATTCATTTGTATGATATTCGCATAACATACACTCATACCACATCTTCCTTTATCTATGTAACACTTTTTCAGTTTACTAGATTTTCATTGTTCATGTTATGCTTTTTTAAAAATGTGATTGCGAAATTCCTATAAAGATCATTCCATACGATGAATAAACGCATCACATATACAATTAATAGAATTTTGTACGACAGAAACCTTATTTGTTCATAAAAGATTGATAAGCAAAGATAAAAAAATGTTTAAACAGCCAAGGTTTGTATGAATTAAAGGACTATAAATTTCAAAAGGTATATATTACTACACAGTTTTGTTCCAATAGTTTCCCCTTGGCATAATACGCAGGGTATTTCTATAAAGAAATGAATTTCAAATTATATTTATTTCACTCTGAATAAGGTTATTATTTATAACTTATTTCGAAATAAATAAAAAATCCATACTTACCAGTTTGATTAGGGTTCAATTTACGGAAAACATAAAGACCAAAAATAATAACGACAGCAGTAACTACAGAACATCCAACTGCAACAGCTACAAGAAGACCAGTGGAGAAACTGTTTGGATGGTTTGATCGCTCGTTCAGCACCTGAAGTAGTAAGTTGTTAAATGTGAATGAAGTAGTTTTGTATTAACTACACGAAGAAATAGATGTATATCAACATATCATGTCATTCAGATAATTTGAAAGCTCTATATACATGATATATGGCTTATAACAAGTTCCGTAGTAATCAAGTTCGTATAATAAGATAAAACAGTAGGGTATGACACATAAAGGACGTAAAAGTATTGTATGAATTATATTAATATTAAAACTGTTATAGTGCTAAACCGTTTATCAGAGTTAAAGTTCATACATAGCCAAAGTAGATATAGTTGTTATGTGCCAATCAACAACAGGTCAAGGATATGTTGTATTAATACATTTTTCTTTTTACATATCTTCATTCTTTGGAATAAAACGCTCCGTGAATAGCCAAACAATTTCTTTTTTAGACGCGCTGTTTTTGTGGTTGTATTTATATCAAAATTAATAATAATTCATGTCTTGTATATCATAATACCTAGACACTTATATATTTTTGAACATATATTATAATTCAAAGGTCTTGTGACTTATCTTTCTATATACACATTGATACCGTTATTTTTCTACACTCATTTGTGTTTTCATATATGTAACTTCGCTCGTTAAAACGTTGTATGTTGATTTTCAAATAACAAAAGACCACTTCATAAATCGTAATTTCAAACCAAAAGCATTGGCATGTTTACCCTCTTAACCAACTAAAATGTCAATGGATCAAAAACGTTCAAACTGAGTATGTCTGATGTAGTATTTTTCTTGATATTCGTACATAATTTACAAGTTGGCCGATTCAAAGAAACTAAATTTTGATTGGTATCCGACAAGCTGGCAGTATTATCATTTTCCGGATTCATGACATACCATGGTTTTAAAAGAACAACATGAACAACTGTACATATATAATTAAAAATATGCTTAATGTCATAGCTTATATCGAGTCTAGTAGATAAATTGCAAACTGTAACAGTAAAATGTCTTCCTCCATAGGAGGAGCAGCTTCATACAATGGGAACAGAAAACTTGCAGCTGTTTTCAGTTTCTGCAAAACTATTTGATATTACCTAGGAATTTGTCTTGACTGCAATTTTGAATATAGAAATCAAGTCCAATGCATTCAGATCCATTACACATAGGAAAAGGGCTGTCACAATCACGTGAACGTTTTTTGAATCTGATTCCGCTAGTTGCATTGCAAGACTCCCATTCCTGCCAACTCCCCCACTGTCCATGAACTGTAATCATATGTGGTGTAAATAAATGTAAATTTCACATCTTATCGAATTTATTTAAAAAAAGATTATATTTTGCAATGAATTGCACTGTTATGCATGTTATATGTGATGTGTCTTCCTCAGTTTTGGTTTGTTACCCGGATTTGTTCTTTCTCAATACTACTGTTGCCTTTATTTATATCTTATTGTATTCATTTAAGAATATTATATTCTATCAATTGTATTGTAAATCCAATTTTATTGAAATTTACTATGTATTAAATGATAAAAAATCTACGATGTATAACCTTTTCATCCCTGCTATACAATTCTAATGGGTTCAGGTTATTTAGATCTCGCTACGTTTTAACAAATTTAATGTTTAGTTGATGTACTTGATTTTGAAAGTATTAAGTTGAATAGTTTGGATGCCACATTCCTTTCCCTGCAGTTATTACATATGTGAGAATATAATTAGATTAGTATTTCAGATGTGAATCATAAGCTAAAGCAAGATATATAAGAGAAATTACTTTCACAATATATAGTATTACAAAGACGACTTTCTATCGATCTTCCATGGCAATAACGTCCACCATGGGATGGTGTTGGATTATCACATGTCCGAGTCCTGTCCTGTATTCCACCATTACATGTTGCACTACAGGTATTCCAGGAAGACCATTCCCTCCAACTGCCATGGACTAAAAAAAGAAAAAGACAGATATTCCTTTAACAGATTTAAAAGATATATTTGTGAAGAATCTAAAACGGATATTACATATGAACATCAACTGCAACATCCATCGACTAAAATTTTTAAAAGAAATTAACAATTTTTACACATTTCAAATGTTTAATTGTTTCTTTTAATAGTTTCAAATTAATTTAAAAATACAAATTAAACATTGTATATTAACCTAACTAATCAACTTATTACAACATGTTCTATTTTGTCTCATTTATTGCTGTCATAGGGTTTCATATTACAGGTATCTTAATGTGTATCTTACTCTTGCATTTTCATTTCGTCCCAAGTAAAATACTGTAATAAAAAAACACTATAAGGAACACTAGGTTATATGAGGTAACATAGATTATATGTAAATAATGCAGCAAACAGGCAACATTATCTAAACAAATGTCCTATGAGTTTTTCAATTATTGGTTTTATCTATTTATTTACAACTTTCACTTGAATGCCTCACGTGATTACAAAATGCAGAAAATAAAAATATGTACGATTTATTCATTTGATTTTGATTTTCTGGAGAATTATGTTTGTTATGGTTTATATGTTTAATAAATCTTACAAGACAATATCGATGTATAACATGTCGTGATGATTTTATTACGGGTTTTTATACACTTAACATATCGTTTGTCGCGGAAGTTACAGAAAAGCTACAGCAGTTTATTAACTGAGTGTACCTAATAGCCTAATGTTTAACTTACTGTTAAATTTGCAAGCATGTATTTACATAGAGGTTTTAGTAAGTGTTCTTAAAATTCCTGTTTCTCTACTCTTAAGTAGTTCCTTACACAAATCTCATCACTTCATTAAAACCTTAAAGCCTAGCAGTGTTTAATAAAAAAAAGATCATATTGAATAATGCTTATAAGTACTAATTGAAGGGTCTAAACTAATACTGCTGATAATACACAATGCCGTCTTACATAATTATCTAACATGTTATGTCATCGAACATAACAGTAACATGGATGTTGGCTGTTACGTTTCGAAACAACATATTCTATTAAAAAGTAAAATCACAAAAATACTGAACTCCGAGTAAAATTCAAAACGGAAAGTCTCTAATCAAATGGCAACATCAAATGATAAAACAGATCAAACGAATGGACAACAACTGTTATAGACTGTCAAAATTAATACCATATAAACAACGGACATTAAAACTGAAACGAAAAATAAAAGGTCTTTGTTTTTTGTGATTTAGCCATTCAAACAACGGCGGAAATCATTCTCTCTCTAGATTTTCATACATCTAATAATGACATTGTTTTCTGTCATTTCAGCTGCGTCGGATACAAATCGACTTTATGCAAGTACACGTATACATGTACATGTATGGGACTTTGCCGGATTCATTTTTGGAAAAAGCAATTGTGAAAGGAAAAGTTAGTTCATGCTTTGTAGGTTCTTAAAAGCAATCCAATTCAATTTTTAAACTGTTAGATTTTGAAGAGATTTTTTCAACCCGAAAGAGATTTACAGATGTAATGATATGCATTTACATAAGGTCTATTTGACGCAGCTCATTTATAATAAAAATAACAATGACTTTAATAAGATTTTTAATAATGTCTTGTAAAACAATATGCTATAAATCTATGAGAAGAATGAGAAAAATAGAAGGGTAATCGGACATAATTTGTGAAATATATGATACAAGAGAATCGGAATATCTGACAAAAAGACAATATAAGAAACCAACGACTTAAATGATACGTATTTAGATAAACCATATCTACCTGGACATACAGCTAACTTGCACCTTTGCCATTGACTATTTAGTCCATTACAATCTCTGCCTCCTGCAAAAGGAATTGGACTGTTACATCGTCGCCTCCTTGTTTGATACCTTAGGCCACAGGAGGGACTACACATATTCCAAATGGACCACTCGCCCCAGTTTCCATTTTCTTAAATAATAAATTCAAGTTAAAAAAAAGACAGTAAGTTTAGAAATGCTAAATACAATCAATGTAACCTAATTACTCCTTTGCAAAAACGTATAGCTAAATGTTATTTAACACTGTGACAGTAGTAAAATTTTCGATATTTTGTTTTCATCAGTTCTCACGTGCACATTCATTTAATATTTGAAAACTTAAAACATATATATCATGCTTCTATGTCTGTTTATGACGTTTTAACACCAAATCCTGTCGATGTGTACTTTTTGACACTTTAGAATGTTTTTACTCTTGGCAAACACGATTTATTATAAGATGTAATTGGCGCTTAACTATTTCTCAGTAGCTCCGAATACTATCATTGCAGGTGCTTTGTTTGTATTGATTTAATGTTATATGTAGTTCTTTTATACCTCGTACCGATCTTTCGAGTTAAGAAATGGTTAAGCGGTCACAAACATACCGTATTCAACCGACCATATTCTGTATACGATTGTGGTACAGCAGTTGTTTGTGGTTTATATCTGTCATATGTTTCTTTGCTATTGTTTTTATAGATTAAGCCGTTAGTTTTGTTTTTGTTTTGGGTTGCTTCACATTTGTCATGTCGGGGCCTTTTATCACAACTATACCCAGCAAACATATAACATTTTAAAAACATTTTTCGAATGTCATATGGATGTCTTTCCGATAACATTGCAATAAAATATCCTTTGAACATCAAAAACATGTTCATTTTACTGTTTTTGAAACGTTTTAATTCTAACATTTAGGTCAAATGTTTTAACAACATCAAACAAATATTATTTCCTAATATCTTTTATTCACGTTCTCAAACATTGTTCTGAAATATCCCGTACTTATTTCTATAATATAAAAAAATAATATTATCTTCGATTGGTATTTTGTATTGCTAAACCATTTAAAGTAAATATTTTCCAAATATCCCAAAAACATTCGGCTAAAAATGTTTTGCAGAAAATATAGTTTTGCTATTTTACATAAAATGTTTTATAACGTTTAATTAAAATGTTTTACATTTAACATCTAAAAGATATCGGCTAAATGTTTTCTATAAAATATTTTGACATACACTTTATTTAATATTCTTACTGATATTTTATTCAACATTTTACGGATATGAAAATAACATT